TATTATATATATGACACGACGACAAAGTCGATTATTAAAACATGTTTAGCTCTCTATTTTTGGCAGACTAAATATTAGTTCTACCATTGCTACATAATCCCCAAACGAGAGCTAACAACACCCACACCCTTGATTAATAAAAAGAAGTAAACTACATATTAGCAACAACGAAAACAATATTGCTCTGAGAAAACAATCGAAACTAGTCGTGGCTTTCTTTTTCATGAAACACCCACACCCACACTCTTCCATAATATGTATCAACCCATTAGTTTTTCATCCATGTATAAAATATTCTGTATTCAATCTAAAATTACTTTTTTTAGGCTCATGTTTCTTGGTGTTAAAAGCATGAGTTGTCTAATTCGACGTTGAACATAAATGGACACAGAACTAGCTACTAACATTTCGAATATAAATAGAAAAAAAAATGCGCATTCATGTTGAAATAGCAAAAAAACAAAAGATTAAATTTCATATAAATGATAACATATCACCCCGAATTCGTTTTAAAGAGTATGCCTTCGGTGAATAAAAATAACATATTCGGGTTCAGCGTTATCAGTTAACCCCGCCCACATTGATATATTGAGAGGGTACCTCTGATCACAGGTTGAAAAAATGTTAACAAAACTCAATGGTAAAACAATGTACAAAACAGAGAAAAATCATTCGCACTGGATGAGGTGGAGTGTGAGGGTGTAGGCACCAGAGACCGAAACCAAACGGAACTGGAACCGACATTTTTAAAGACTCACTCGATCCGAACCGATACGAGCGCGAACCACTTCTTTAAAAGTAATACTGAACTGAATCGAACCTGAACTGCCCAATCAGAAAACTAATGAAAAAGATGGCGTTTTTACACATAAAAAGGGCACATTTTAGCACATCATAATTTGTTTTTGAATAGAAACAGTTTCAAGAGCATTTCATGTTAATAGCTAGTTTTTCTCTGAAAAATATTCTCTTTTAAATGCTTAAAAAATTGTGCTTTTTGCGCGGGGAATCATTTTCTTTTTCTTTACGTATATTAGGCAGTCACTTAATAAAAGGGAGAGAATGCTGACGCACATAAAAGAAAACGAATTGAGTAAACTAACATGTTTTGAGATATTGCCATTCTATAGAAAATGATCAAAACACGTTTGATCTCTTGCTTTACATAAGCTTGATATAAATTTGTATAACGTCATGTTTCTGTTTACAACAATCAGAATAACGATCTTCATTGCAATCAGTCAATTATACATAGTGTTCCTCGTTGATTCCTTTTTGTCTTTTTTATCGGAACTGAACTCGAACCATAAAAACTCGGTTCGATTCGGTCTCTGGTAGGCATGCACCGAACCAGAACTACCCAGATTCGGTCGTACCCGAACTTGGTCATACCCAGATTGGATAATGGGTTCCTGTGTCTACCTACTCGTATCATTCGAAGCACAAAAATGAATAATAAATTGTACCTATAGATAGATAATAATAAAAATGGTTTTATTTCGAAGGTTTATCGTCTCTTCATCAATCTATCGTAAATAATCTTATTTATCAGGAAAGCACACCATTAAATGAACTTTTCTTAATATTTCTCTGGGACTCAATTACAGGAAGTCATCGAGTGGTTCTTGTTATTGAAATGATCCTTCTGATAGGCTAAGTAGGGACGTGAGAATTCGAATACTAGTAATACCAATAAAATTTAATATTGGTGATATTGATATTAGCATTATTAGTGTTGATATTGTTACTAGGTCGATGGAAAAAAAATCATACATCTGTATTTCGGGAAAATTTAATAAGGAGAACCATTCGACGATTTCTTGAAGTTGAGTCCAAGAGAAATATTAAGAGAAACCCCTTTAATTGTATCCGCTCCTGATAAATGAAATTAACTATGATAGGTTGCGCAAGGCGAAGGATATTTGACATGAGCTCATCTTTTACCACCTATCATATATCCATAGGTACTATTTATTATTCATTTCTATGCTGCGAAGGGTACGAATAAATAGACCCGGGAGTTCCAGTACCGAATCTGGGTATAACCGAATCCGGGTAGTACTGAGCCGAACTACCCGGTTTGTAACCCGAGTTCGGTGCATGCCTATGTAGGTGTGTGAGTGTGGACTCTATGCATTTGTGATCCGTGAGTCTGTATATGAGTGCCACTGTTCTTTTAGTGTACACCCACACCCACACCCTCTAGTTGTCACTAGTAACAGCGAGTTTTACTTGCCACAATCGATTGATTTCATCGATTACTTTTCATTGAATGTTCGAGTGTTCGACTATCTTGATGAAACTGAATTCCATTTTAGTTCTTTGTTCCATCTCCTATAGTTGCATGTACTATAAGTTAATAGATCTACCGCTATGTCGTGGTGAAAAAATCAAGAAAGAAATAAGTATTTATAATCATACATCAACCTCTTATTGCTGAAAAATCTATTTATGCTAACAGTTTCTTCGCTCACTCCAACTTTTTATTAAAAAAGAGGATTTTTAAAAAAATAGAGGAAAAAGAGGCGGAGTGGGTGGCCAGTTATGATAATCGCACTTGTACTAAGTAATATCTATCAGAGCAATAACTTTTATGTTTACTACCTGTGCTCGCCGAACTATCGAGCTATGGTGAATAAGTTGCTATTCGGCTGCTACTACAGGAGGTCGATGAGAAGCAATTAACTCAAGCGTTTGTTAGCTTTCAACAAAGACGAGACAGAAATGTTCTTTTTAGGGTGTTTTGAACTACAATGCTCACACCCACCCTTTGCGTCACCGCTGTCATTCGGATGGTCTTCTTGTTCATTCCTTTATTTTGAAATAGGATCATCAACAGCGACACTGTTGTTCTATCGATTTGAAATAAATCTGAATCTGTTGCACTAACACTAGAACGAAATCATAGAAATCGGAAAATTTGAAGAAACTATGTCAGTAGGAATTAATTTCAAAATATCTATGTAATTGATATTTAAGATTAGACATAAAATGACGATTATCATTTAATTGTTGTCATTTCAATAATTCCTTTGAAGTGAAAACGTACTGTCAATTATAATTAATAACTTGAATCATGGGCTATTTCACCAAGGTGACAACAATGGAAAAAAAAAATCTCATTCAATTAAATTTTATCCCCATCCATAGATTTATTTATTTTTCTTTACAATATGAACATATAGGTATAAATGAATAATAGTCAGATTGAATGCCAGTTTGTCTATTGAATTAGTTGTGGTGTTTCATTTTGAAATGATATCTCATAGCATTCACGTGTACTTAAATTGAGAGCAATACACGAATTTGATTGAGCAAAAGATGGAATACAGAGAAGACGAACTTGAATATCATTTGATCCTAAAAGAAAATTAAACAATTCAGTTTATGTATTAAAAATCTAATTGAGTAATGAATGAATGATTGATGTATTCATATTTTCAATGCTGTCATGGTGTCACACTCAGTTACAATAAATAGCTGATGATCATACCTTGAAAAAGTCGTGTTTCAAATTTAGGTTGATTTCCTGCAAAGAATACATGTGGTGTATCAGTAATTATAAATGGATCATTTTTAACATATGGATAACAACCTAAAACATTGAAAATTAACTTCAGCTTTAAACCGAAACTTCTTTTATCCTACTTAATGTATCAGGACATGTTGGCGCAATAGCACTCCATTTAAGACAATTTTCCAGTATCTGAACACGACTCTCAATCGTTGATTGAAGATCGATATCGTCTAAATTTTGTCCTGATGTTCCGAGAAGACTAAAAGAAAAAGAAACAAATCTCCC